ATAGATAGATAGATAGATAGATAGATAGATAGATAGATAGATAGATAGATAGATACGCAAGGACTGGTTGACGTGCAAAATTAATGGATAAATGAACGAATAAATTAAAGAAATAGAAAAGAGCAGACGGATTTAACAGTTGAATGATAAGCAATGTAGGCACCGGTGCATATAGAGCTGAGCTATGCATACTATTGAAACAGCGAAAAACACGTTTAAAAACGAGGAATGGAAAGGGGGGGGGGCATAATTTTTTAATATTAGTACCATGCTCAATCGTTAAGGCCAGTTTAAAACTTCACTTTGTCCATCTGGTGCTCATTTATTTTGAATAAGCTCGTTTGCTTTTATTTACTGATTTATTTATTTTTTGTAACGCTTTTTTTCGAGGGGGGGGTGCGCAAATTGTTTTTGCAGGACAGGGGTAGGAGGGCTAGTGGTTTTAGAGAAAAGCGTTAGCCTAATAAAGGTAAATAGAATAGCACCGAAAATGGGGCTTCTTGTGGCAGTTCTAAAGATGACAAATTATACTAAACGCGAACGATTGTCCCTTTCATCCACTCAAAACGTTTATTTTAGACCGGAACGACTGTTCGTGACCATTCATACATTATAAAAAAGACTATATTCCATCGTACGTGTGAATTGTCTCACGAAGTTGAGATCTGTTTGCGACATATGCAAAGGTTAGCTTGTTTAATCATAGTCAGCGAAATGTCAAAACAAGCCGTGATTTACCGTAACGAGCAAAGACAGAGGGTTAGTGTTGACTGTGTGTGTGGCAGCTCTTTTTGATGCACATTCCATGAGGGGACGTGCCCACGAATTAAATTCTTGAATCAGTGTTTCTTTCCGTGTAAGTGGGCTTATCTGTTCGAAATTAAGCGTGATATAATAGGCCCTACTATTGCATGGCGTTTTTAATCTTCCGTCGAAATTCTCCAGGCCGAGATTAGCTAGCCATTCAGACAAAACGTACGACGAACATTGTCAGGTGACCAAAGTTTTCAGGTCGGCACCATACAATTATTAGAGTTCTACTGACAAACATCTGCGGCTCAGAAGGCTTAATGTTATAGTTTGAAGAGAACAATGATAATCATCACAGCCATAGACGTGTTCACCACAGTGACAACACCTTGGCCCAAACACACAAACATATAACGCCTGTGCACTTTGCCTTGAAAGATGATCGGACATAATTTGCATTTTACCTGCACGTGATCAGGCGTCAATTTGCTTGTCATCAAACTCAAGTCACGAAAAGCGGGTGGGAGGAAAGAAGGAGATTTAGGAGGATTTGGGGAGGGGAGGGGTGAGGTGAGGGTTGGACCTATGCCAGTACTATAATATAAGACTCGTGTAGGTTGCAAACTTACACCGTTCGTTCCTTATCGCGTGTCTCGTGTGTGGGCGACTTGCATAACGTATAATTTTCTTCAAATCTCAGACAAAATGTACTAGAAATCGATATGAATGGAGCAAAGAGGGTTATAAACATTTAAAATCTATTCCAAGGACCTTATTGGAATGCAGTACTGTGTAGTCGAAGATTCTCTACTGATTAGTAAATAGCTTAGTTTTATCAAGTAGATAATCTTTGGTGTTGTTGTTCATGTTGGTGAAAAACTGTAGATTACCATTGTCGCTCTGGCGTCTGCATCACATGGCAAAGGTACAGTACTCAATTAACCCTATCCGTACGTCGTGTTTTACTATCGTATCAATACGAAGTGGGGAACTCTGTGCCACCACTTTCAAAAAGTGAAAATTTACTCGTTAATCCAATCGGTAGGCTTTGCATGTCAACATTTTTTGTTTGTTTGGGAAAAATACTGAAAGTTTCAAAG